GCAAATCATTGGGTTGATGGGTTAATGAGTTGCTGGATTTGTGCAAACCATCCCCACTTGGGCAAATCCTTGGATTTATGGACTACTGGGTTTTTGGGTTACTGGAGCCGCGCAAGCCACCCCCACTTGGGCAAATCATTGGATTACTGGGTTAATGGCTTGCTGGGTTGTGGGTCGTGGGTCGTACTGTAATGGCGGACTCCATGTCATTAACATGGTATGGTTCGGCGATTGCGCACTCCCGTCGCGATGCATCGCGTCATATCTGCGAATGCCTTGGCGCGCTCGCAGCAACTCCTGCCACTGGCCAAGATGGTAGACGGACCTCCAGTCTACCTGGCTCGGAAGCTGGAAGCAACTGGTGTCAGCGGACACGCCAAAGGCATCCAGCAGAGTCTCAGCGTTCAACATGATGTTGAAGACACGGTTCAGGTGCTGGACCGCGGCACGACTTGGCCCCTTCTTTTGTCTTTGCTTGTGGTTTCTCCCTCAGATCGCAAGCCTGTCTGTCCGCAGCAGCATGCAGCAGCCCGTGCGTGATTGAAGTCCCCAGGCTTCCGCACGCGTTGAGCCAATCGCCGCCAGCTCCCATGTTGCAAGTTGCACGCTTCGGTTTAGGCCTGAACCTCCTTAAAGGCACTGTAGCGGCTCACTGCCCTGCCCACATCAGCCTTCCGTACTTTTGCAGAGACGGATCTTGCAACAGGACAGCAGGTTTTGCGCTTGCAAGCCAAAACAGTCCATCTGGGACAGGACAAGGCCGTAGCCGTAACACTCGGCATTTCAAAGCTGTCAGTTGTCGAAACGGCTGTTGGCTCTTCCATGCCGGCGTCAAAGTCGCCGTCAAAGTCAGACCCGAGCACAAGATTCTCATACAGCAAAACGCTTATCTGTATGTGTTCGCCGGGCTCGACCCAGACTGATTTAATTACTTGGGGCTTGCTTCTCTGTCTGGCGCTTGGGTCTTCGGGCCGGCTGGATGAGGTGGCACGCTTTGCATTTCGCTCTCATCAGAAGAGCCGCACATCCAAGATGTGTGATGAGAAAGACGCATCGCAAGGACACCTTCCCCGCATGGGAAGAAAAATGAATGTTTGTATGTGTGTATGTATGTATATATATATATGCATGTCCGCATATACAGTGCATATTCACACACACACACATATCTGGATGCTAATTGAGACTAAGGAAGTTTGTTTGCGTGTGTCTTGTTTTCCTCCGGATCCCGAACGACCTACAAAGCACCTTTACTCCGACGAAACCGGAAAAGACAACCCTTGGCATCCCTTAGCATTTCGCAATGTGAAAGCAAGTCTGACGCATTCGGGAAGAGCTCCTGCAGTACAAATAACAAGAGCAATCCAAACCACGAAAAAACATCCAATCTGCTAAGATGGCAAACACGAACTGCCAAAGCGCACTAGTCTGACTATGCAATATGCAGCATTAATTCCTGGACAAGAGTCTGTAAAGGTTGAGGATGACTGTGTTAATGTGGATGTTGATGTCGCTGTAACCTCGGACCGAACCAAGGAAGAACTCCGGAACAATTTGCCTCGAAGCGAACGCCGAAGCAAGACTGGCGAAGAGACTGCACACTGAGAAATCGCCGGCCCACAAATGCACACCACAAACCTTTGCCTAGCATGTCGGACAGGCGGCTGTGAAAGCCGATGGTGTTTGCGTGGAAGTCGATGTCGCCTTGCACCACATAACAACACCAGCATAGCTAAATCGCGACATGACTTTCCCCGATTTGGGGAGCTTACAAAACCCGTGCTGCACTACGGATTGTGGAAGTTTACACTCCCTTTTCGGTGACTTGCTCCTGTTACACTGATGAGCCTCCAAAACACCGCAGCATAATGCCAATTTATTTGCAGCTTCAGCATGGTCATCTTTGTTGATCGACTCATCATATTATCTTTTTCACCACGTATCCATCGCGATTCACCATTCAGCCGCCACAAGTTAGACAGTTAGACATCATGCCGAAGACGACGAGAAATAACGACCGGAAAAAGACAGAGAACAACTTCCTAAGACTCTCCTCAACCGAAGACTTTCTGACGGAAAGTTGATAGGGGTAATGAACCCGAATGCGTCAATGCGTCGGTTCGCCGCACTTCGCAGCAACCACATTTAGAATAAGCTTGCCGCCCTCCAAGACCCGCCCAGCAGATTTGTGCTGACGATTGCCAATGCTTGGGCCGATTTCGCCTCAACATGCCCCAACAGCCCATACAGTTCGCACAGACATCCTCAGAGCCGCACACCTTCAAACAAGAACCCTTCGCTACGCTTTGGGGAGATGATAACAATGGAATGATAACGAACGAATTCAAACACCCGGAGACTCTTAACACATATCGAGAATCCCAAGATTGCTGCCCGTTCATTCCCAGCCTGTTTCTGCCAAATGAGGGCAAAATCATGGAACATGGAACAACTTGTCACAAAAATATCAACGACAACGAAAAGAAGAGTTAAGCCAATTAGGCGTAGCAAACCTCTACCAGATAACACGACGAACAAATGATGCTCCGTAAAGATGAAAACGCATTATCAGCCAGTTATCAGCAAAACGAAGACCGAACAATTGTCGGACTGATCTTGTAAGGTGGCCACAATCTGTCTACTCAAAAATGGCTAAAAGAATCTCATGCCAAGAGGCCCCTGTCGATTCCGGCAGGGTCGCGTTGCCTGAAACGTAATCGACAAGGTGGCCGACCACAATATAACAAAGCCCAATGTACGCTGACTGACACGGGCGGTTGCCGCGACTATCTGCGACATACATGAGGCGTTGCAACGTCAACACTGAGGAACTCCTGCCCGCAACCAGACTCCTCGGAGCCTTCCCTACAAAAACACAACCTTGGATCCTTGTGTAGTAAGCCTGCATGCAGGCAGGTTGCTTGAATTCGAAGTGTTCGACGCAGCTGTCCCGTCACAGAACCTGCATGCTGGTGCAGCTATGACTTCCCAATTCCAGATGGTTGCCGTGAGGGCGGTGCGTGTATGTCGGAAACAGTGGCGAAGTTCCGCTGGAGGCCTGCAAAGATCCAACTGGCACGCCCAAAAAAAACAACAAACCAACACACACTCAGACCTAACGTGCCACCTCAAGAGCTGTCCCCATCTCCCATTGAGCCGTCTAGGATATTGTTTGCTGCGGCAAAGATCCAAGCCCACGAAGACTGCCTCTGCCACGAAACGCGTTGTTAATGTCCTCCTGAGGCACGTGTAGCAGCAAATGTGCACTCGGCAAAGGGGACCCAAGCATGCACATGCAGCATTCTCATCCCTGCAAAAAGTCACAGCAACTGGTGAACTAGCTTCTGAGTGTGAGTGTAATTAATGCCCTGTATAACGCTGCTCTCGGCCAGAGACATGAGCCAAGAGTCAGAATGTCGATTTGCATGGAAGATGCCAAAGACCTGAGATGTGCGGCCAGTGTGCACGTGTCTCGCGAGAGTCCATGAGCCTCCGGCGTTCCATCTAGCAAAGTTCGCTGGACCGGCCCTGTGAGCCATTGCCAGTACCTGCAACGGTTGACAGCTGCGTTATGAACATACAGACACCTCCCTGGGCACTGCTGCGCAGTTACGATGTCATAGAATGTTGGAGACCTTCACAGAACTGCACAGAGCCAGAAACAGACGAGAATGTCCGCTAGATTCGAAAGCTTTATCTCATGTCTTCTTCTTCTGAGCCCCTCACGTGGGAACAAAAGCTGAAGAATTGTCAGATTCCTGGGACCGGAATAATGTCGGGCCTAGCTTTTGTCTCATCGCAGGTGACAGATGCACAACCCCTTCCACAACGACCACCAGTGTCAACCACCGCCGCAGCATTACCACAAAAAGAAGCAGTAGCATCCTTCCAAAACCGTACTGTGCGCACCATATGAAGCATGGATAGCAGCAACGTGGCTGTGCGTGTCGGCTGTCGTGCTTTGTCTGCATGAGATTGCCGTTCCGTTGAAACAGGCTCTACTACCAGACGGGAAGCGTTCATGTGAACGTGAGATTACTATCTCGCCAACCAGGAGAAGACAGAAACAGACAGGCACATGAAGAGGAAAACGTCAAAAACTATGAAGTGTTTTGAAGCAATGCTCGTTCAAAACACTGTCTTTGCACAGAGCCTGTCGAAAATGCTGACTGCACAATTGACGGAATCGCTCCAAGCATTCACTACTGAAGCTTAAGGGCTTGAGGAATTAGGCGTGAGGGTTTAGGGTGCGAGGCCATTTTTTCAAACTTTCAGGTTTGGGGCTGCCTTGGGAAAACCATGTCAAGCCAGTAAGTGTGAAAGATCAGTGTGCTCCAACAATCAGGCAAAGGTTCCCACATATCCTACACCATTGCACAACCTCGAGGGTCCAAGTAACTCTAAAACTCTGGTTGCCGTTTTGATTAGATGGCTGGGTTCTACAATCGCTGTTCGGGACGTCTGGGAAGTCCTTCAAGGCCTTAGCATATGTTACTCTAGGCACTTGGACATTGCAGGAATCAATACATGATCGTGCAGGGCCGGTGCTTGGGCAGTCACCTACTGAGGTGATGACAGGATCACGGGGACATCTCGCACTGCACTGTACTGAACTGCACTTATCATCGGACCATGGTCGGCAGCAGGCCGTGCCGCTAGTCTAGCCAAAGCACTGTGAAGTTCGAAAAGATTCTTTCGACGTTGTTCGAAGCCATCAACAAGCCTCAAGGCAGCAGTCGACGGTGGCAACAGCTCAAAAGCTCTGCAAATCCAAAAAGATGCTGCCAGGCACACTGTGCGCCCAGCTGGGGTTCATGATACCAGGCTGGATCATGGAGAGAAGGAACACAAGCTGCGCAAGGGCACGATGCTGTGTCTGCAAAAAATCCGCAGGCGGATCAGTTGAGGGCTGCTGGAGATCTTAAATGCTCAAGACTTTCCGTGTTGAGGAGTATTGCCCACATGGTTCCACAGAGTGTCTTCAGAGAATGGCAGTGGACCTGGCACAGGAGGAACACGCTGAACTCCAAGAGCCGAAACCTGCAGCAGGCGCAGGCGAGCGATGGGGCGATGCGTCCGAGAGACGAGTCGTCCTCTCTCCAAAGACCGAGTTCTGCCATGTGGCCTCGCATCGGCCCTTTTCTTTCGCTTCTTCTCCTGCACTTGGACGGTACCCCAATCTCCCCTAGGCCGGGCCACCACGAGCTTACGGCGGCCTGGCCCTGCTGCATGAGGTCGTTTAACGAGGGGATGACGTCCATGTTCACTTTGGCCGCCTGTTGAAGCCCGTGGAGAGGAAAGCAGAGGCAACCCGACCGATAGGGCCTCGGAGTCATCGCCACCCCGCTTCTTGCGAGCATTTTCCAGCTCCTATGCACTTTGTGCACCTCTTTCCCTGCTGCCCTTCCGAGAAATCGGCACCCGTGACTGAACCGGCTCTCCTTCTCCAGCTGCCGCTCATTGAAAGTAAAATCCTTGGTCAAGAAAGCTCGCGGCCAGTCACTGCAAAAAGAATACCGGCATTGTGATACCAGGGGCGGGTCCTCCCATTTCTCTCCCTTCGGCCTCGCGCATTTACACGAAGTCAAAGGACGCTCAATGTACACCTAGGCCTGCAATTCAATTTGCGTGACCGCGCGCATCGCAGTGTCTGCCTGTTCAGGTCCTCTTTGCTGAGCACAGTGCTGGCACCTGCCGTTTGCTGCCACGTAGTGGCCGTAATGGACGTCTGCTGCTTGTCACACTCAGGCTCCGGCGCACGAGCGTCAAGCAATAATTACGGCCTCCACGTAATGCGGTTTTGTCGGCTACTTGCTCGCAACATAGCAGACTGCATGAACACATTGTGACATGTGCAGCTGTTACCCGATGTTGACTCCGCAGAGAACATGCTGTCTCGTTTCATTCCCAGGAAAACCTTATCAAGATTCTTTGGTTTGGTCGCTTGACTTGCTTGCGCTTTGCTATTTCTCCATCGGAATCACACTTTCTTGCATGTGACCTGACAATGCTCTTGCGAGGACACTGAAACCGTATGATGACTGCGCACGAAACTGTGGCAGGGCCTTTGACCATCCAACAGTCTCGTTCACGAGGGGCCTCACCTCGCCGGATGATGGCACCATTCTTGCACCATGAATTCGGCAAGCTCCTACCTTCTTGACCTGAGGCATCATCAACCTCAGATGAGTACGGGCGTATCAGGAGACAATGGAAAAGACGCGCCGTGACCACAGTGGAAATGTACCCAAGTTCAAAGCCACGGCCACCGAGCTCGAACTAGCCGAGTTCCTCCGGTACCACATCGCATGGAACCAGAGGTGCAAGCCAACCGCGATTTCATGTGCAACAAACCCGCTCTTGAAACTGGCTGATGCAGATTGAGATGGCGGCACCTGGGCGGGCGCCGGCATGCAGCAAACACGCTAGAGTTATGAAGTGAAAGACTTTGGGGCAGTACTCTACAGAATGGAAAACAAAAACTCGCTACCATAATAGTAGCAAATGGAACCACGTGATGCAGCTACAAAGCGAAGCAATGGATCGCCAAGCACAAGAACACATTCGCCTCATAAACTTCTCAGAGTCTGATTGGTGGAACATGTGCTTTTGAATCGCTACAATTACAACAAGATCATGGATGTCTCAGCTGTGGACAGGAGGCAGAATGATGTCGACCAGGTCCATGTTGTCAAGCCTGGAGTATCAAAGGAGTAGGTTTCTAGGTTTTCTTCCAAGAACGATACAAGTACTTGAATCGAAAACTGATTCTCTCACCAGGGGCCAATGCACAATGCGCCCGTCTCCATCGAGGAAGAAAACCTTGTCAGGATCGAGGCCTGGCAAGATCGAACAGCTACGCACTCTTCTGCAAGAGCGAGTTTGTCTTGCGGGTAAGGTGCCCCAGTATTTGGCAGCCTGTTTCCCGAGGCTTTCGACCTTCACTGTAGAACTCGACATAGCTCAAACGAAGCCTGGAATCTTGAGACCGCCTTCTCGTTCAGATGAACAAGAAATTTAGCATCTCTGGATCCTGGCAAAGGGAAAGTTCAACAGTCCAACTGCACAATGGAACACTGCCGCACCTGCTCCCTCTCCATTTATGTGAAGATTGAAACCTGTTGTTTCTGTGCCGGTGAGAAAATGGACATCGACCATCATCTGCTCATCCTGCCATCCCATTCCCATCTGTTCCCAGGATGTCAGACACAACGTGAGGGAAACAGTGGACATCGCTGCGGCAGACTTCCTCGTTCTTGGGTCGTCTGCGCAAGAACCGATCGATGGTCTCTCTCGTAACCTCTGGTGAGCTGAGACATCCGGCGCCGCGTGTGCCTTCAAAAAACCGGGAGTCCGACGCTCTGGATTCGTATTTTCTGGTCTGTGTCGAGTGTTACTCTTTGCTGCTGCCTGATGACACGGACACGGATGGAAAGCATCTGCTGCAACGCGGGAATGGAGCCAAAAACGAAGGCCTCAGCTCATCGTACTGCTGCTTCTCCTCAGTGAACTCGTCGTTGCCTCGGGGAATCTTCCATGCAGAAAGCGTTCGAAAGATGTGAACCGGCATTCTCTTGCCTGGTGCTTTCGTGTGCACGATTCATCGTCGTGATCCGGTGGACAACACGTCGTCGTTATGCGATTTAAGGCGTGACTACATTTGTCTTGGCTCTTCGACCAGACCAAATCCAGCGCTTTCTGTTGTGTGGACAGAGGTGGTCCCTTTCGGCAACGACGACCTGAAAGAATGACCCAATTTCAATTGACAGACCGACCAACGCGGAAAGGTGTCTGTGCCCTGCGCAAGTGCGCTCGAACTACGCTTGTTTGGAATACTGATCATTCAGAGCAGGCTCTAACTGATCTTGCTACCGCCGGACTCATGACAGGCAAGGGACAGGCATCACTTAGACTTGTGTAAAGCAACACACGATAATGCAAGCAGTCATGCACAGAACGTTAAGAGTCGGACAATCCTTCAATTTGTTCTGGAGTTCGAGCATCTCCAGTTCCTCCTGTCGTACATGCTCCGAAAACTGTGCCTGTCCCGCATTCCTTCGGTCGAACTCGAGGCGATCGATCAGATACGCCCACGACATGCATGGGTTGGATGTCCTTCTGGAGCAACTTATTGAGATCCACCTGCTTGCGGACGAGCGTTTTGTGTGCAACGGCAATCAAATCAGGAATGCACTCACATTGGTTGAACGGCCTCCTCCCTCTTCATCTTTCTCTGCAGCTCCTGCAGCTCGAAACCGACAGCTGCTCCAACAGAAGTCATCTCACGGGAACATGACGTCTCTGGCTTCTCCAGAAGCCCTGTCCTGCAAGTGATCAGATTTTGTAATTCTTTCCAATGGCTTGCCGGTCTCGTCGAAACCCTCGACCTGGCACGAGGGGCTTCGCAATGACTCGACGTGAGTTGATCGAACTGCTGAAGACTGTGGACTTTGCATCCACGAGGTTCTGTGAACATATCGTGCTGATAAAGTCGCGCCACTTTTTCTACCGGGGGCTCTGTGTATGCGGAGCCTTGTGTGGCTTTTTTCAGGACCATTCACTATTAACCTAGGGAGGGGTGCTGGGAGTTTGTGGCTTGGGGCAGCTCTGCGAAGAACTTCCAAAGTTGGCACTTCACCGCACCACCTTTTATAACTCCTAAACTCCTAAACCTTTCCAGAGTTCTACAAACATCCAAACAAGTCTGGGCCGCCCATTCTTTGATTCCTTCATTTTCGGCCATCTCTGCGCTGGCGCTGGGGTCACCCCTCCAATGCCGATAAATACGCCCTTCCGACTTCAGCCCTTTCCGCCACGAAGCCTCGAATACTCCTCGAATCATCCGTCCCGTGGCGATGTAGACATGTCACGTGTCTTGCGGCTAAAGTCTTACATACAGTCTTGAGCACGCTGCGGCCGTCGGAGTCTGGTTTGCAAATCTCGCTGGACATACAGGCATAGTCGCAAGGGCGAAAACAAGAAGAGGACAAGTCTGCCTGTAGATGATGAGTATTCCGACCAAGATATCCCAGCGAAGCTTCCACCTTGGCTCTGAAGCTCGGACTCCGAGCTTTTTGCACACGAGAAAAGACAAAGACTCTAAGGCCCTTTTGAGACTTCAAGAGCCGCGCCGATAATCGGGCGGAACGATGTACCGTTGCAGCAGGCAGGCCTTTAGCGCAGGCCCAGATAGGCCTGGGCCTATCCATCTCTGAACTCCAAGCTCACCTCCGTCTCCTCGACCGACTCGACCGCTCCAGTGTTGGGGTCTGTCCTGCACTGAGGTGTCTCGGCGGCAGTCGGCGGCGTGCTAGGCCATGTCTCCAGCGCCTTCTCGTGGAAAGCAGGACAGGATGTGAGGAGCTTCTGGACGTTTTGGTGCCTTCATCCGACATGTTGTGGGCTATGGGCTGAGCAGAAACATCACCACCGCCGCCACTGCCTGCAGACGACAGACTCCCCAAAGTCTTCGTTGTGTCGATCCTGGCTCGGACCTGGCAACGCGAACCAGTGCAGACAGGAGTGTGGCCCCGGGCACATCGCAAGATTTGGACCTAAGGCAAAGAAAGGCTGAACAGTTTAAATTGGCAGGCTCTTGCCGAGACTTGACGAGAGAAGCTCGCAATCGAAAAAAACCTGGTGTCAGCACGGATCAGCAAAACCTAGCTGGATGGACACCACGTGGAGAAGGACTCGGACTCGATGGAGACGATGCTGGATCAAGCGAGCCTTGCAATCGCAAGCATTAGAAAAACCAAACAAAAATCGTCGCAAAGAACTGCTTCAGATGGAGCAAGCAAAATTGTGCTTCACCGTCTGCGTGAGATACTGTGCGAAGGATACACTCTGCTGCAAGGCCGGGGATAATTAAGCGACACACAGAGACGACAAGTATGCTGGGCGAGAAACAAGTTTACGTCTGGCGCCTAGCTTGCACCCAGGGGTCCTCTGTGATATTTCCACGAAACGCATTTGCTCGACGAACGAAATGATTCTGAAAACCAAGAACATTCTTCTTGAGCACATAAGGAAAGCAAAGCAGCTTCCCCGCATACCCGATCCCCCTCCTACCTGTGGTGGCTCTGTTTCGGAGGGCGGGGGCAAAAAACGCCCAGCTGCACCCCAGAACCGAGGACGAAGCTCTTCTCCCACACAGCCAAATGGAGGTGCAAGCCCCCTCGCGCACGAGTGCGCCCTGGTCTCCGCCGTGTTTATGTGAAAAGTCATAAGAAAAGGACAGCGGATTGTCACCCAAAAACCTCCACCCTGTAGTAACACTACGAACCCCCAGGCCTCGTTTCAGGCTGATGCTTGTCCGGTGGAAGAGAAGCAGCTTGCCTGTTGAGACCCTTTGGTCTGCGTGTGTTGTGTGCCGTTCCATGTTGTACGTACATACATACGGTTTGTCTTGACAGTGCTTTTTTTCCCGGTGTCCCTTACACGCTCTTTGTAGCGCGCCGACAACTATACAGGCACTGGACGACCTTCACATGCTCAAACAGGCATCTGGGCATGATGCTGGCTATGCTGCAATCACAAAACCGAAAACCCTCTCTCTTCTTCCCCAGGGCATGAGGGGTCTGTTAAACCTTCTCTCTCTCTCTTTCTCCCTCACGCTCTGTCCCTCACAGCACCTGGATGCAAGCGGCCTTTGCGTGCCTAGGACCTCGGGGCCTGGAGCCTAGAAGCGCGGCACCGTAGGCCTCTTCCCTAACGTGCGGGTCCTGGCTCTGACAGCCAGGCTGTATTGAAAATACTGGGGCTTTGGCGAATCTTTCGCGGACTGGGCTCGGAGGTGTCGTCCCTCGTATCCCTGGCACAAGTGCATCGGCAACCTGCTTGATAATCGCGAATACCTTTCTCATCAGACTCCATTGCCATCCATTACAGAGTCCCCCACCCGCTGGGTACTCGCAGGAGAGCTGCCCTCGCAAATGCAGACGGAACGACAAAATGTCGCAAAGCATGGTCTTGCTTTCTCACCAGGACACGGAATCGGAGTCGCCCGATCTGTGCTTAGCACCACAGGAGGTAGGTCGTCTGCACTGCTGGCGACCTTAGGACAGGTCTCACTCATCGCCTCATGAAAGCTTCTGTTCACCCTTCCTTCGGGGCGGGTGTGCTCGATGTGTGCATTCAAAACTGTCCTCTTCTTGTGCACTCTGTACAAAACAAGCACCTCGTCTTGCTTGCTTACCGCGACACTGCTGACGCATTTTGCCCAACACTTAGTTGTCTTGACTGCAGAACCCACATGTCTGAGTGCACGACACCGTGAATCAAAACCAGAGACTGGCAACAGGATAAGAGAAACATCAGATTATGACGAATTGTACGGTGCTGACACCTCTAGAACACAAAACTATTGCACATCAAATGCACCAAGTACAACACGTGGACAGGTAAGGAGTCTCAGAAGCAGCTGCAGCCTTCGCTTCACGCTCATCGCAGTGACTCACCCTCAGTTCGGACCCGAGCACCTGCCAGAGCTGCAACAAAGATTGTCGGCCCATGCAGCGAACTGCGAACAAATGACAATGCGTGCAATGCGTGCCTTTACCATCTCGTGTTTCAGCTTCTCCTGGGGCAAACAGCCGGTTCGCTTGGAATGACTTCCATAATCACACTACTCGTGGTACAAATAGCCTTTTTAATGCCATGAGAATGCGAAGTGTTCAGTACCGTTTCGTTTTCCCGGTTCCGAGATTGGTGCTCATGACTTCACCTGCGAAATCGATCACTGGGAGTCTGGGGCCTGGACCGTTGTATTCCTAAGGCAACCCTGCCGGCCACAAAACTCCGGGCCCAGAACCAGGCACCAGCCACACTCAGGAAAGAAAACAACAGGAAACCCACCAGCTGCTTCGCAAATCTAGTTTCCTCTTCCTCTGTCCGAATCTTGGAGAAACCAAAGCCACACCTCTCAGAGGCATTGGTGTTGGCTCCGCTTAAAAGCCAGAAAAGCCATGCGAGCGTGGTCGGAGGGGCAGGGGCAAGGAGAACGGGGGCAAGCAGGAGAACGGGGCAGAGCAGCAAGGCAGTTCAGCAAAATTCCAACAATCATAGTTGTGGTTTACATTTCAACACTGGCGCAATGCAAATGAGGCGGTTGATCAACAATCCCACACAACCAATCTTCGAACAACTGCCATTCCAAGGTGTGACAAATCCTGTCAATACGAAGGTCAACCAGCGTATGGAGTGAAGCTGCAACTGACAACGGACAACTGATAAGGTTGCTGGATTAGCCTCTTCCCATTCCAACTGCAGGTACGTCGGGCTGGTCAGGCCAGATATCACCATGCATTGACAGTGTCTCGCTGGGCAGCGACCAGCCAATCCACCAACCCCTGGTTCGCGTGCACAGATACACTTGGAAAAACCCTTGAACGGAATAGCTAGGTTTGACAAGACGCAAGCATAGCAGGTACGTCATAATCCACATCCGGAACTGATATCACAAGCATTGGATACGTGTATATGCTGTGTTTTGTTACGTTGCGGGCATGGATGCTCTGCGGCGCGACGGATGTTGTCTGGGTGGGTGTTAGTATGGTTGGCCCATGGATGCTCTGCGGCAACGATGGGTTCTCGAAGTCCCGTGCGAATTCGGACGACCACAACCCGGAAAACCCTGAAAAAAAAAAAAGCAAAGTACTCCGACAATTCCGAACCGCCTGGAGTGCGGCCGTAACGTTGGGCCTGAAACCTATGCAAACCTTGCAGCGCTGATTCCAAGCATTGACCCAAACGAGGCAGCAAAAACAAGTCATGTTTAACTCGGCTGCTGAACGTGACTCACTCATCTCGTAAGCCACAGCTCAGATTTTGCTGGAGAAGTCATCCAAATGTCATCGAAAAATCAAACACAACATCATCAGAGAAATCTAGCAACCGCTTCGCCATGAAGATGTGCCAGAGATCCTTGCCACAAGCCCGCAGACCTTCTTCCAGGTCACATGACATGTGCTGCTCTTGACACGAGCCCTTCTGTCACGAAAGGAGACAAGAAATCCCAGGAACATATGAGCAACAGGTGCCGGCGTCACCACCATGCTCCGTGCAGCGAAATAGACTAACTCAGTGATCATGCTGCTGTTTAAATTATTTTTGGCCCCGGCTCTCGAACTGTGGAAATCCAATTAAAAAGTCCCTTCTGTCTGTTGCAAGCACGTGCAACAGATTGAAAACCGAATTGAACTGTGCTCCTCGTTGGTCTCTGCACGAGCCATAGCACCTGGAAATCGAAGCTGAACATCTGCCAGCGCATCCTTGAAAGGCTCAATGCTGCCTGCTGACTGCTGCTACACATGTCCAAGGTCCTTGTTGATGGTCAGCACATCGGTACGACTGCTAAAACCGCGGACCTTGCATGTGACTGCAGCGAGGTGAAGCAAGTAGAAATGTTACAATGTAGAAAGGAAAGGGCTACTAATGTCCAGTCCAGGTGCCAGAACGGGAAGGGCTGCGATCTGACCAACAACATCTGCGCTTTGATAAATCCCACATAGGACCTGAATATGGTTTGTCCGAGCTCTCTCTGGAGTGAGCTCCGAAGCCACCGGCCTCAGATGTAGAAGGTCGGATCAGGGTGCCATCCTGGCCATGGCTCCGTCTGCACTGGTCACTGGTCAGAACATTCCTCCTCAGCCTCAAATTCCTGCTCCATCAGGACTTCACCCAATGCGCTCCGCTTCAAACACTGCTGAACCTGATAGTGATTCAGAGACGCACAGGAGCTGCCCTGGACGGTACGGCGCTTGGCCCCCCTGCCCACGTCTTCAGCTGCGCTATGTCTTGGCGATCGCCATCACACACTGCCTGGAGGAGCAGACCATGGAAGACTCGAAGAGCGCGAGCACCGATCCTCCAGGCAGCCATGATTCACGACATAGACCTGCCAGAAGTGCAATCCATGTGCAGTGTGCGCAGCGCTGGGAGGTTGCCTCTGCTGTGACTTCTCCCTCTTCAATGATCACCTCATTCTGCAAGACCTCCAGGAGACGGACAGCTTGGCGATAGACAAACCCGAGATTGAAACTGAGGTGAGAGCATGTTGAGGCATCATCATCTGAACAAGCTCTATCCTGAATGCCAAGTCCTGACATTGTGGTAAAGTCCGCGTCCATCCTGGATTGAGACCAACAATCCCTGCAGCTCGGCATGCCTGAATGCGACTTGCATGGACCGTAGAGATATGATGCGTGCCAAATGCCAAAGCGTCGTACCTCCCTTGTGCGGTGGCTTCCCTCTTCGCTTCGCGACAATGGGCCACAAGGCAAGGGTTATCAACTCAAGCAGCCAAGGTGTTGGACTTCGTGCGACGCGCTTGCAACTACGTGTAACACATGATGCTCCCGAGCGAGGAAGCGGTCCTCCTCATGGAAGGGTCTCTCGAGAGTACGCAGCCACTCAGAGTATGAGTTCTGGATAATGTCCATCCTGCTCAGAACTGGAAAGCCACGCGAGTGCCTTTCCCGTGAAAGACTTTGGGTCTGGACCGACTCGAATCTGCGCCTGATGCTCATGGGCATGTTGCCAAGAATGTCCGCCTGGAGTTCGTCGGACATGTGTCACCCTTGCATCGTTTGCGTCGATGCAAGCATTGCGACTATGCACTCTCCTCATTGAAGATGGACTTCTTGTGAAGAACGTACTGGGTGTGTTCTCGAATGGCTGCCCTGGGCAAGCTCCATGCGTTGTGGCTGGTAAGGCTTGAAAATATCGCCTATGCAGGATCCTTGTCCGAACATGTGGGTCTGAATCCAAGAGCAAGCACACTGCCGTTCGTTTGGTACCAGTCCGCTACCGAGCACAGCTTTAGAACTCAGCTCGCATTTATTTTTAGGCTTCTGTGCTGCTGTTGGTGGTGGGCAGTCGTGGTCTGCGCGATCTCGTCCGTGGTCATCGCAGTTCTGTTCAGTTGCGAAGCTATTTGGTATGACAAAAAGCTGTACACCAGCAGACATACAAACAGATGCGTTCAATACCAAGGCTTTACAAAGATCCAAAACAAGCAGAAATTCAGCCTCGATTTGTTCTTTTGCATTGAACGGTGAATTCGTTGTACATGCTCTTAGCCACAATCTTAAGCAGCACTTTTACAGGTGGTACTAGCTGTTAGTGGCGTCAACTGCATATTCAGCTGCGATTGGTCGGGAAAGAAGGGGTATAGCCTGCATGTGGTGTGCGATTCTACTCACTCATTCTTGGTCACTATACAATGTCCTGCTTGTAATGATACCTGCCGTTTACAACTTGGCGTGGCTCACTTATGTACACCCGAAATGGTTATCTTCACGATCATTAACATCAGGTTGCACTTTTTCTGTAAACCAATCCGCCGATTGAGCGGCTAGCCGTATCTAGCCAGCCCACCCTGTCTCCCTATGTCTCCTCTCCCTCCTCAGGATAGACACCAAGGGTGGGTTCACCGTCTGCGCTATAGTTTACAGTGCTCAGCTCAATCTGGAGTGAACGATGTGGGGAACCTTCGCTCGGGCAGGTTGTTCCCATTGGGCCCCCATGGGATCCAAAGCCTCGATTTCGGTTGCGTAGCTCGAGTCCGATCTTCTGACTGTTGTACCCTCTGAAGCGCACAGCCTCGGTTGCCTTGCATACCCTGTTGATCGTTGCGCTGGAGAACGATATCGGCATGATCATGACACCGTAAATGTCGCAGGTCGGGTCCCGTTGCTGCTCAATTGGCGCAAAATAAGGGTCCGTCCCTGTTGTGAACGGTCCTTGGGCGCACCGGCAAAGCCTGGTGTCAGAAGCTGTGAGCACACCTATAGGTTCTCGAAGTCAAAAAGTCCGGTACGGCTTAAAGGGCTAGTTGTAAAATCTTGTTTGCCTCGAACAGGGTAGCTGCAGCTATGTCAGGAGCAGCTCCTTTTATTGAGCTCCGAGGCTTTGATACACGATATATAATAACCGGCCAGGCCTGGCTAGAGGCCTAGATACCCATGACAGACTGCCTGCAACTGACCTCAACATTTTCTCTTCGCATCGGTCTACGTGATATTGCTCGTGCTACCTGCCGCATCGATAATCACATGGATGCCACTCCGGTCAAATTACATTGTTTCCCACAAAAACATATTGTTGAGAGTGTCGCTCTATGCAAGCCCTCTGGCGACCTGCAGCTCGAAGGACGTTTTG